GGGCGGCTGTGCCGAGACGTCGGGCATGTCCCGAACAGGTGCGTCGCCATGAACTGCAAATTAAGCCGTTCATGACGACGAACTCGTCCAGGACATCGACCATCTCTCCGCAACGCTTGCCGGTCCCAGGTACGATACGAAAACTGCATGGCATTTGCTCGGTAAGCTTGCCAGGAAACGGGTTCGGTCGTTTTTTCTCTTTGTCAAGCCCCCTTTGTCTGGTATGACGACCGTGGGGTAAGGTAGGGTCAGGGTATTGGTGTCGTAGCTGAGACTGGGCTGCTCTGTCGAGTAGTCGGTAATGTCCTGCCAGGGTGCGTCGTCATAAACTGTAAAATTGCTAAGGAATATTAGCGCTTCATTGCAATTCATGACGATGCGCCCTTGGAGGATAAAACCGACTTCTCCACAGAGGTGCTCAGTCCTAGATACGACAACATAACTGCACGACGATTGCTCGGTAGAAAAGCCCGCAAACAGATTCGGTCCTGTTTTCTCTTTTTCAAGTACCCTTTGTTTGGCATGAAGACAGTGGATAGGTTAGCGTTGTCGCAATCTACGGGGAGTTCGGGGACAAGGTGTAAAGTTATCTTTTTGAAGCGCCATTAACGTATTTGCCGTTCCATCCCACCTTGTGATTAGAAAGAAGTAACAGCAAGGCGCCCTCTCTACTTCCTCGTTTGTCCACCGAGTCCATGATCATCCCCACCAAAACTTGCATCGCTATCCCCCCCCCCGCCCGCCGACTCTGCCCTACCAAACAAACAGCTTGCACATCAGGTGGAGAAGCGCCGACGACGCGGATGGCGCCTCCAGTGTCCGGGTCAGCACCCCCGTACGCAGGAAAGCCCCCAACTTGTCGACCACCACCATTGCCGGCGATGATGGTGACCAACAAGTCGGCGGCTTTCCTGCTGACGGGGGTGTTGGCCCAGAAACTGGAGGCGCCATCCGCGTCGTCGGGCTTCGCCGCTGCCGGGACCGTGGTCTCCAAAGCTACTACAGCAGTACCCGTGCGATCGACAAGTCGACTACCAAGTGTAACCTGGCGACCAATGACTAGGAGATCATCGTGACCAGCGCTGTTTACGACGGCGACACCGCCGATGACAAGGCCGATCCGGAGGTCTTGATCATCGCCCTTGAAACTGGTGACTCGCGACGAGAGCTACCTCCGCCGGGTGAGGGGGTAGCACGTTGTTCTTGTCGGCTCTCACTGCCAAGCGTGGTGCATACGGCTTTGAGAAGCTAGCAAAACACGCACCCGCTCATATTTGACGGCCGTCTTCCGTATGGCAAAAAGTACGAGATTTCCCGAACTTGTATGCCCTATCCGAACGGCCCAACGGCACGGGGATCTAACGCAGCTTTCAGAGCAACTTTATTGCCTGAGCACAGCTATGACAGATCTGCACCAATACAGAAGCAGACAATCTCATAGGGAAGCAACACGGAATGCTGTGATACACGGAGCTACGGGTGATACATTCACCTTGCACCATTTTTTTTATGGTTTCCAAATGTGTGTGGAGTTGAGAAACTCCGGCTTCGATTATGCAAGTCTGGTGAGAACATATCATGAAGAGACTGAAGAGCGCGTCCGTTCGTCGTAGCTATTAGAAGCCGAAATCAAATCATTGGAATAGTCAGCGATGACTAGTCTAGGCTAATGGTGGTTTGATTTCAGCTTGTGAAAGGTGCAGCGTGGCGGCCGCATCTTCGATAAATCAATCGACCGTCGTATTGTTAGCGCTCTCGCATAAATTGGCAAGCGGTGATATTTTCTACCCTACATTCAACCTTGAGGTGTCGTCTTTTTTCTAAGGTGTGTGGCCCTCGCCCCGACTACGGCTTACACGGGGCGCCGCGCGCCGTGTAGTAGTGCTTTCCCACAACAAGGGTTTGGGAATGAGAAAACAAAAGTGGAATGAGAAATAACCCCTCATGCGTCGGCCTTGATCCGCGTGTTTGTGAGAATGCATGCCTGCGCGGTACGATGTATGTACACTCATGGAGTAAACATAGTAGCTCATGTAGGAGTAGTAACTTCGGGCAGTTTGTGGATACCGAGAAGAGGGATTATCTGGGTGTTTGGCGAATCATGGTGTCACTTGCCGTCTTTACATGTGCGACGAGACACCTACAGCACTGTAATAATAATGTATAAGTTGTGTGTTTCGGTGATGCTGCTCTCTTTATTCACCTTCACAATGTGGATGCTCTTCGTTCACTTTCACAACGTGGATGAAACGCAGTCGTCAAGTTCATTAGTAGTTTGTCTGGTCCGCGGTTGACGCATCTAGGAAAAGGCCCGGATATTTTGTGGAGTGTGCTGAGCAAGTGTGTAGCCCTACACCGCGCACATCGAGGTACCATATAGCAAGGCCGACAAGTTCTTGGTCGAAGAAATTGTTTTGCATTTTCGAGAAGTAATAGGTTAATCCGGTGTTCCATTCGGAATCGTTGTGTTTTACGCTTGTGCATTTATGTGTGCTGTGCCTGTTTCAAGTTGCAAATGAGACCGGAACGGAAAGGATGAGCGAAATATGAAACTCCTACAGTAGCTTCATGTCCTCAGGTGATACCTCCGTTTACGAACATGTGCCCTAAGTGAAAGCGAACTCGCAAGAGAAACATTTTGATCAGATATCACCGCTCTTTTCGCATTCTGCTCATGCATGCGCTCATCCCGAACAGTATCCGGGGTGCCCGAAGTCTGCAAAGTATGGCCTGAGGGACGCCCCGCCCAGCAAGTGCAAGGGTCACAAGAGGGCCGGTCAATACACCACCAACTGCTACGGAGCGCTGCTGATGGCAACCCGTGACGGCGACGGTAAGTTACAACCGTGAACCCTGCTGTTGCTGGTGCTGCTGGTGCTGCGATTGTTCCGATTGGCGTCGATGTTTTCTCAGTCAAGTCCTATCCCGAAACGAAGTCATCGGGTGGGGGAGCCCTTGCGGAATTGTGGATACGCCTTCAGAGTACCGGGACACGCCTTCTCTTTCTTCGTGTTACCGAATTGCTTTCCACCGTGAGCTACAGTATATTTTCGATGCTTGGTCAACGTCATAGCATCGATCGCGCATCCCCAACCCGGTCGTTTACCCGTACAACGTTCTACTTCAGCCTTTCGTAGGGTGAGTAGTACCGGTTGAACCTTGAGTTCCACACCGTTCTCATCGTTGAAGAGAAGCCCCCCGGCGCCCGCGCCGTCTCATACTCCGCATCTTTTCCTGTTTCGCGCCATTCTCAAACGGCGGCCATGCCTTTCCCGCTGTGCTACCGTAGCGTTCCGGACACCGGCGGTGGCGGTGCCAGTGCCAGCAGTGACGATGCCCCCCTCTCCAGCCAGCAGTGAAATTGCAGGTAAAAAATGAGCGCGGTGTCTGTATATTATTGGGTTGCCCCTGTGTTTTAGCCTTGAACCCTAGGGCAGGGCGGAAGAATGCATTGAACAGAGCATGGCGCGTGTCTTCCACTTCAATGTATACCCTTGCTTCCGTAGTGGTTGTGGTGTTGCCGTGCCGACGGCGTTTGTTGAATTTTTTACCGGTGATCCGCTCGCGCCCTGAACCATTGCTACCCGTTCCATGGAAATTGTTGTGTGAGTCGGCTCCAAGCAAGTCTGACGGTCTCGACTGGGGGATAGAAAACCTGCTCACGTATTTCCAGGCTGACAGTTCCATCACACCCGGCGGGTACCCGACCAGCGTTAACCAAGAGAGGTTAAGATTCATCGCCTAATGGATGTATCACAAAGTATGTTTGCCACATGTTTTCGGACTTCTTTCTGCTCTCGAGCAGGCAAAGCGGGTAGTAGCCAATCAGTCGGCTCGTCAATAACTTCCTTTCCAACCGCAACTGCCCCTTAGTAACCGTTCTGTTGTCGCCGTCTATTTCCACGACTTTCTTTCTCTCTTCGGCTGTTTGACAGGGACGAAAGCGGCATCCGCCCAATCTCGGCGGCGCTCTACAGGAAGCAGCGGCTCCTCGGTACCCTCTCACCGCAAGCCCAAAGCGAAGCTTTCTTCTTCGGTGCACACGTTGAAACGTAAGATACTGGGGGGCGTACCCAAGTGGCTCTGGCCGGCTGTTGTTTCGTGCGCATGTATAATACAACAAGCTGGATGTTTGTGAATGCATTCAGCAATGACACATGAGTTAGCCTGGCGACCTAAACCACTCCCACAACTCCCATGGCATTGAGCGTACGGAGGGAGTGGATAACGTTTGTATGCAACGTAGTCACTCGAATCTTGACACATAGAGCCGACACTAGTCCGACTCTGAGTAGGAACACCTCGTGACGCACTGCACTCCGTTGCGGCAACTCTGCGCCATTCGTGTTCTCAACGCCGGGATTTCCTCTACACCTCCAATCGTGCTACAGGCGAGAACCGACCGGGGACATTTTCAAGCGGACATGAAGAAAGCAGGGCACCGCAAAACCACTCCTGCCTCTTTCCAGAGTGAGACAACGCATGTAGATTAAATCGAATCTTTCTCTTGGAACACAGAGTTGCGGTGAATCCTGATCACCGTTGTGCTTGAGAGCTGTGATTGAGGTCGAGGTGTCTTTCAGTCTCTGGCTGTCAAATCAAGGAGGTCGTAGATCGTTTTCACCGCAGCAGCTGCGGTATAGTCCGTCCGGTTAAATTTTTCCACGATTGCCTAGAATCGCTCGGGAATATATTGCGAGCGACTGACGTACCCCCTAAAAACATACCTTATATCGTAAAAAAGCTCTATTTCAGGCGGATCGTTTGATCGGAGCAGTTTTTTTTTGTATTCGCTGAGATACAACGGAGAAATGGGCAAAAATTCTCATTCCAGCTGGTCCCAGAGTTATGTTTTTAATGGTGAAACCAACCGATATATTTCGAAAAACTCGACGGATTCGGGCGAATTGGACCTGCACCCAGGACCGTTTTTTTTTCTTTGCGAACAAAATTTTTCTGAAAGAGTTATGGCCCATCAAAGTTTGGTGCCGCCACACACACCACACAACACACCACACACCACACACCACACGCTACAGCAGTCACATAGACCCCACTAAGGGCCCATCCAAGCCCATACATGGTTGGGCGTCCCCCGGGTAAACGAAACAAGAAGCGTGGCAGCTGCCAAACAAGAGCAGGTGGTCGGTTCGGCGCGAAAGCGGCCGCGTCACCATCCCCCGCTGCGGACACTTCACCGCCACATGACCACCACGACACATGTTATGAAGGAGACGAGGAGGACCACAGCAGCAGCCAACACAGCAGCGACAGCAATAGTCACTATGGCAGCTGCAGCTCGGGGAGCTCGGGTCGTGTCAAGCGTGATGGCACGAGCAAACGACAGCGCAGGCGCCGCCGGCAACAGCAGCGAGAAAAAGAAGAAAAGAGGGGCTTTCGCACTCTTTTTCAGATGTGGGCGCCGACTCCACCGCCTCCGCCCGGCAGCACTTTCGCCCCCACCTCTACAGAGACCGAAAGCAAGGCGGGACAGTTTGAGGACGGGGCGGTTGTGTTCGAGGTTGAGGGAGGTGGAGACGACGGTGACGAGCTCTGCAAT